TTCGGTGATATACTGTATATGAAGTTGTGGCAAGTGAGTGTGTGAATTTTACGTCCATGGACCCCGTCATTATAATGCTATGGACGACGTAGCTGAGGTGGTCAGCAGGGCCTCGAACTGGAAAAGTCTGGGGTTCGACGGACTGCATCACTAATGGCTAAAGGGCTTCGTGGTGTGTTAGGCTGTACTCGCCCGATAGTTTTAAAAGGCTCTCGACCAGAAGTCGCTCCCGAGTCTCTTCACTCCTGGGATAACTCATTTGGTTCCTAAAGACCAAGATACCACATACCTAAGCAAATACCGCCCTGTAACGTATCTACCTACCATATACAAGACAATAACATCCATTTTGAGTGCGAAGATCACTCGTCACCTGAACTCAAATCAGGTGATATCGCGCGCTCAGAATGGATGTCGGGGCGGTGATTATGGAACCAAGGAACAATTCCTCATTGACGCGGTCATTGGCAAGGTGTTTAAACGCAACCGTCGGAACCTCCCCGCCACCTGGATAGACTACAAAAAGGCATTCGACTCGGTGCCTCATACATGGCTGAAGGGGTCCTCGAGCTGTACAAGATTAACTGTACAGTTCGAGACTTCCTCAGGCAATGTATGGGGCAGTGGAGTACGATCCTTTGTCATCTAGGCGAGCGAATTATGGCTACGGAGAACCACATAAGGATAAGAAGGGGTGTCTTCCAGGGCGAATGTTTGAGTTCAATCTGGTTCTGCCTCTCTCTGAACCCTCTCAGTACCATACTGGAGGGTTCTGGAAGGGGATTGCAGCTTCGGAAAGGGGGTACAAAAGTGACCCACCTTATCTACATGGATGATCTCAAGTTGTTCGCCTCCAGTCGCTCCCATCTTGTGGAATTGCTAAACACTACTTGTGATTTTAGCAATTCTATTAGAATGGAGCTGAGGACAGATTAAGTGTGCGGTCCTCCATGTCGAAAGGGGTAGTGTTGCTAACTCTGAGCGATAGACTTATCTATGCCCATCAACATAAAGACCCTATCCGAGGCTGAAACATACTGATACCTGAGTATGTCACAGAACATAGGTATCGATGAGGCGGATATGAAACAGTCAGTTTTTCGATGTGTTTTATGCACGCTTGATAAAAGTGCTTAACAGTCTTTTGTTGGGCGTCAATAAGACACACGCATATGACGGTTGGATCATGCCTGTTCTCATGTATACCTTTGGCATACTCAGGTGGACTCAAACCGAACTGAACGCTCTGGATAGAAAAGTCCGCAGTGTTATGACGTCCCACAGGATGTATCATCCGAGATCGGCAATAATGAGGCTGTACTTGCCGCTGAAACATGGTGGGCTCGGCTTTTTAAGCGCTCTCATCATGCATAATCGCGAAGTGTGCAGCCTCCGTAATTACTTCATTCGACGTCATTTCATGTGATAAAGGGCTAACCCCTCCATCTTTAGCCAACGAGCAATGGCAACCCAGCAGTACAGTGCATTTCCGACCGGGAGACCGTACAGAAGGAGAAGGAGAAGCACGGGAGGTTCTACAAGGCTCTTCATGAGCCTTTCGTAGAAACAGTTGCCTCCCTTCACTAGCTATGTTTTGGTAACCTCTTCGGGGAAACCGACGGTTTTCTCTGTGCAATACAGGATCAGGTTATTAATCCTCAACAGTTATCGGAAATACATCCTAAGAGATGGTACAGTCGAGCTTGTCGCCATCCCGGTGAACGACTTAGGCATGTCATCTCTGGTTGTTCGGCGCTTTCTAACTCTGAGTACTTGCATAGGTACAACCTAGTAGCCAGGATTCTACACCAGGAGCTCGTTCTGAAATACGGTCTCGTGGATTGGAAACTGCCTTATATAAGTACTTGCTGAAAGCCGTGCTCGAAAATGACCACGCTAGGCTCTACTGGAATCATCTGTGATGATGGCCCGTCAAGAATATTTTTGGTCGACATTACCATTCTGTATGACGAGAACCTCGTAAAAGCCGAAAGAGATAAGCATACAATATATCTGCACCTGGCTCACGAGGTGACCGACATGTGAGGTGGTCTGCCAACCGAAATTATTCCTGTAGTCGTTTCTGCGAACGCGCTCATCCCGCGCTCCGGGCTCAAATGCAGAAGGCGGTGCTCCTCGATACAGCCCGCATCGTCCGCCGGTTTCTTTCCCTTTCCCCCTCGAGGGCTTCCATTTGGTTGGGCTTTGATATATATTGTTATGTATTTATTTTATTTTATTGATATTTATGTATTTTTATCATTTTCATTCACAATTATATATTTATACAGCCCAACCAAATGAGAAAACTATATAGATACCCCATAAAAATAAACATTTATACTTTACCACCAATAAAGTTAAATGAGTAATACACACAGAAATGACAATAATTACATAGTATAGTAATGAATTAGCTCTAGCTCAGCATAAATTTTGCAGTTGCCTACAACTCTGTTATTCTGCCTGCGCCTAACATATGAACAGTACAGTACCTGCTCATATTGCATTTAATCAAAACTGTTCACATTTGGGTACATGCAGTGAATTCCAGAGTATTATCCTGTTCAAATTAGTAATTAAATATATTTTTTGTATTATCATTATTTATATTATTGGCAAAATACTTCCTTGTTTTGGCCTCTAGCTAGTAGAAATTCTTATCTGCAAAGGAGTAGTGGGCAGATACGACCCTCTTACCTATTTCTGCCACCAAATAGCAATACATGCACCACTGTGCCACGGTCTAAAGGGTAAAGAGAGCTAGTACGATTACAGGCTGTGAGGTATTCCATCTAATTTTACAGAAGTGACAACGCATCTGTTGCCTCGTGTGTTTGAAGTTGCCATGAACATGGGCTGTAGAAGGTTCCTACAAACAGTTGTACTGTAAATTCATCAGTTACTTTAGTTTTATAAAAAGAAAACCTATCTATAATCTGTCATGTGCATAGATAAGACCCCCTGCACATTCCATCTCCTTTTTAAAACCAGTTTGCACGTACCAAATTATTCCATCAGTTTCTTTCATAACGCTTTCAACACTAAGGCACAATTTATCATATTATGTATTTATTTAAAAATTTACTACATGTTGTGTCGATAAGGCGGCTCTTCTTAGCATTTTACAAGCAGCATTCTAAGATAAACGACGTGTTTTAAAAAAAATAATTATGTCATCCACTAAATATTCTTTAAAGGGATAGAGATGTGATTTCTCAAATTTTATGTATACGTCATAACATTTTTTATTTGATGTCGGTTGTGTGTCCCAAGTGTGCACACGAATCGGGCCGCTTGTGTCAAAAGAGGCGTCACTAATAAGCCTGGCTAATTTTATATTAGCGATTTACAGCGTAACGTTAGAAACGGCTGCGATATTTGTATGTAAATATTAGTTAAGCGGAGACCTATCTTGTTTTTGTTGACAAAAGGGTTATTTTCCAACAAAACAATGAAGTATAATTGGCTCACATTATTGAGATCAAAAGTCGTAAGAAAGAAAATGTATTAAAATGAATAGAATAGCAAAATTATTTTAGTAAAGCTTATGCTTGTGTTAGGCAGGACTGTAAATAAATTGTGGTTTTGAGCCACAATTTCACGCTCTGTAGTCTGTAATGGTCGTAACATACGTGAAAGTCTAACAGAAGGCACGATACAGAAGAAATAAAAAAGTTAGTTTTATTATAATTTATCTATTATAATTTAGCTAAGTACAACTATTTCAAGCTTAGTAGCAAGAATACTAGTAGTGTTCATAGTGTGATTACTTCATAGTATATATACTATAAAAAAGTCATCTGATGTTACTGTGAATGTTCCCACGCTTGATGCCTACTAATGCACGGTAGAATCTCGAATTTTGATTGCGTATTGGTGGAATACACATGACTTAGATACAAAAGAAAGATGAAAACTTTACATGTTTTCAATATTTTATTTAAGTAATTGTTCAGTAATTGTTGGGTGTGGCAGAAGAAGCATGAGAGTAGAATAAATGCTGTAGAAATGCGGTCATTAAGGAGTATGTTAGGGATGAAGCTGAATGACAGAGTGAGAAATTGTTTAATAAGAGAAGAGTGTGGTTTGCAAGATGATGTTGTGACCAGGATTAAGAAAGGAATGCTTCGGTGGTTTGGCCATGTAGAAAGAATGAATGAGGGAAGAGTGACAAAGCAAATTTATGTTGCAGAGGTGAACGGCATAGTCGGGAAGGGTCGCCCTAGGCGAAAGTTTATCGACCAAATTGGCGATATATTAAAAATGGGCCAAATCAAGAGTACCTTTAACCGACGAGCGTGTATGCGTAGGTATATGGATGTGGAGGAAGCGAGAGAGGTGTGTCAGGATCGTGCCAAATGGAAGTCCATAATCTCTGCCTACCCCTCTGGGTGACAGGCGTGAGTGTTTATGTATGTATGTATGTATAATTGTTCACACAAGCAAATTTTCTACAGAAGGTGTTTCTTTCCCGCCGAACCCGAGGTAAATCATCACTTAAAATTACGGCAAACAATTTCAGAGGAGCGCCCCGCCACGATGCCTCGGTTCATAAGTTAAATATTAAAATAGCAATGAAATTAATATATTTGCAAGTTTGTAACAAATCCTTTTTTATTTTAATAGCGTTCCAATAGAAAATCTATATTATTTAAGAAGTATTTTACATAGCTTCACGCCTATAATCTCTGAGGGGTAGACAGAGTCCAAAGAGCAGCGCGCTACTATGAAAAATTGTGATGGAAATGATAGGTTAGCTCACGACTACACAATCACAAAACCAATATACCATTAATCACCTTTCACGACATGCTAAGCAAACAGTTGGCAGTTTCTTTTTTGTACTACACTGTTTTTTGTGCTGCGACTTTTAAGTTTGACATAAACATTATAAGTCCCAAACCAACATGGAAATATATTAGGGAAATTATAATAATAATATTATAGAATATTTTAACCTATCCTATTCTTATTATATGTGTTTATAATATTGGCAGGTTAACGCCGCGTTCGAGGAATTAAGAATACGCGCCCGGGCAGGCAGCGGACGGCTGCCAAAACTAGAAATCCTGCGCGCAGCTATCCAGCATATAGAGAGGTTACAGGCCGCCCTGCGAGCTGCCGCTGTCGTAAGTACCTACAGATGTTCAGCCTCCTGCTGAACTAGATATAATAGCTATTGGCCACTAAGGGCTTAAAATGGATCTGTCACCCCATTTATTCCTGTCTGAGTCGTAAGCTCGTAAATAGAAAAGACCAGACAGATTTTTACATGTTAGAGACACAGCTGGAAACGAGGCATTCCATCTGGATGACAATGCATCTGCATTTTGATACTTGATCGAGGATATATGTAGTTTATGACCCACAGAATCCACTTACCATCAGGTAGACTGTGTGCTTGTTTGTCACCGCCATTCTATAAAAAATAATCTTATGGCCTTGATGATATACCATATTATACCATCTGGTATATACCACTATATGTATATGGCAATATACCAGCGTGCAGCGAAGGTGCGAAACATCTGGAACAGCGATAGAATAGAATAGAATAATTTTTTATTCAATATAGATCACATGTGTAATTCTTATTGAAAGTCATTTTTTACTTTACCACTAGTTCGAAAAAAAAAACCTCTGTCCTGGGAAGAACCAGCAAGAAACCCAGCGGGACATTTTTTTATAAAAAGCATATTTTGCATTAATGATTGGTAGATACAAAATTTATTTTAGAAACAGCTTGGAAGCGATCACCTCATTCCCAGAGGTTATTATCAACCATGTATTCATTTATACTATAATAACCCTTTTTATACAGTTTCAACTTAACAAAACATTTAAACTTGGTAATATAGAGAGCCTGTACACTTTCCGGGACCTTGTTGTAATAGAGTATACATTGCCCCAAGAATGAATTACTGACTCTGTGGAGTCGAGAAACTGGTATCACTGGCTTGTGTTTAATATAGATCGTTAATCTACCTGATTAGCTTGGCCATTAGGTTAAATCCTTCTTTATATGAGTGCGGACTCTGGACAGTTACGGGCACATATAAAGAAATAGGAATATTAAGTCAATTAAGAAGAGCCGTGGTTGATAAGAACTTGCCTTCAATTTTATAACACGCAAACAACAAAAATTTTGGGCATCACCCAAATTGTTCGAAGCAATTTTAAATGCCGATTTACTACGGCCTAGATAGTGAAGGAAAACATTGTGACGAAATTTCTATGTCGAAGAAATTAAAAATATATCGAGAACTTGCACCCTATTATATAAACTCACCGTTTGTGCAGTCTTCGATTTCTTACGAAGTAGGTTCTAGTGATGTATCAATATTTTTATTTTTTCATCAAAAACAAAGACAATATACCATTTTCCAACACTCCTCATCCTCTGTGACTCCACCTCTGCTGCTGTGGGAAGAGAGTAAGGACATCCCTTCTACCGCAGCCCTACTACAGGATCTTAGGCTCTACTTACAATATCGGTTTGAAAATGTTATGTCTGGTTATGTTTAGTTTTAATTTCGTCATATGTCGAGGGCCACGAGATTTTTATCGGTTGCTCGCTTCTGTGGTTAAATGTTTACAGTGAATTTTTTTCTTGAATATTAATTGAGGTAAGATTTTTTTTGGGAAAAAAACATCAACGCGGTTTGAAAGTATACACGCAGACTTTTAAACACCGATAAAAACGAGAATTTGAGAAAACTTACATATAACATTTCATCACCAGTAATTTATAATATTTTTTACATCAGAGGGTTGATATTTCAGTTATTTATAAGATAAAAGCGGCGGAACTTCACGCCAGGACAGCTTCTGATGCTGCAAAATGCCACGTACAAGAGTTGAATTCAGTGGAGCGTTGTTCTAAGAGGCTTATTGGTGACCTTGATTTGATTGAAATCAATTTACGTCAGCCTCGAGCACAGACGCAAAGTTCCAGCCTCGGTATTCAATAGAATGCATTTCAATTGCATTTCTAATTCCTCGCTCCATTTTCAGTCCAGTTCAGAGAACAAAGCGATCGATAGGTCTTCATTCCGTTGTTGTTGATAATCGCTTTCGCACTAAACAGTTAGTATCGTCTTTCGTAATGAATACGGCAAAGGAGTGAAATAATTTAGCGATTACAAGCGATACTACGACCATTTACCACCAGGTGGGATTGAAATCAAGCACATGCTTATAATAAATAAAAAAGAAAGCATAAACAAATAATTAAAAATTACAGTTGTATGAATAAAACAATTGTTTCACTTTTATATTCAGTAAGCTTATGATAATTTATAGTCAGGGGCGTAGCTACCGCCGTATCAGCCGTATCAACGATATGGGGCCCCCCGGCTACAGAGGCCCCGAACGTACGTAAGCAAAAATTCTATGGACTTCTATGGAACAGGATGTTGGTTTGAATTGTTTGACTAGCTTAGTATCTAGGAGTATTAATTGTAAGTAATAACTTATAATCAATATACTTATAATTATTTTAATTTAATGCGAGAGTTTTTGTTCCTTTTGTGAAAATACTTTACCCTTCAATTGCGCCCCTCGACAAATTTTGATACAGGGCCCCTCTAAGGCACGCTACTCCACTGTTTTTAGTTGATACATATTTTTTATCTAACAATTTAAAAATCAGCCCTCAGAATATTGATTCAAGTGAGGAAGCTTTGTACACGTTTGATTTCTCACTTATTAACTGCTACTAAAAACTTCACGTAACATGGTAGAGAATGCAATAATATGAAACGGAACAGTTAAATTTAATGATGAAAATCAGAATCAGATCGTTCAATATAATCCACTAAATGATAACAATCAATCGTATAGTCACAAGTAATTACAGTCAATCAATCAATCCTTTGAGTTTAATCGTTCGTTTCAATCAGGGAACTCCGGCTGAACCGATTCATTTATAAATCTATATCCAGTAAAAAAAGAAAAAAAAAATTAATGATAGAAATATTTATGAATCTAAACGATATTTGTTATTTCGAAGCAACTTTGCACGTAGGCGGCCATGTCGCTGCAATTCACGGCGCATCTATTTCAGAGCGCGCGTCCGTCACGCGCCGTTGCGTTTTGCATCTGATATTGCAGGCGCATGAACACGCTTCGTATGTCAACATCATATATATTATAAAAGACATTTATGTTTGTTTCAATCTATTCCGTTTATTTTTGATTTATCACTAAGTATTATTTACACCAGTGTTATAGAACTTTTAAACATAAGTACATTATTATTTATTATTTTTATTGACATAATAATGTAATGTTGCTACGGCAATGTTACAGTTGTAGCAACTCTGTATGTAGTCTTTGGAACTATTCGTTTCCTTTCTTGATTTATAATCTGTACTCATAAATACCTTTATTAAAATAGTCTTTATGTAAACTGCATTTTATTTTATTTTACTAATACATGCAGGCGTGTGGTCCTTCGTGCGGGATATGAACCAGCGACGTATGAATATACAGTCCAGTGATTTTACTGTTACTGTTACAGTCTATCAAAAGTCTAGTCTGAACATAGGTCTTCCCCATAGATTGACTCATAAGGGGGATATATATCATTGTTGCCACGCTTGGCGGGCGGGTTGACTACCACAATTCTTTTCTGCCGACTTCCAAAAAGGAGACTCAATTCGACTGTATGTTTTTTTTAATGTGTGTTACCTCATAAATTTTTTCTGGGTGAACCGATTTCGATGATTCTTTATTTATTTGAAAGCTGGTACTTCTCGTGTGGTCCCATATGAATTTGATCAAGGTCAGACCAATAGTTTTTGAGTTATTCTTAATAACTTATATTGAAATCAGCTGTACAAAATTTTTAATTTTTAATTATTATTAAGTTATCATTAGTAACACGCTGCTGTCCATATCCTGGTTTATTTTCCTCTGTTGCCTCTTGCGACACCCACGGAAAAATGGGGTAGTTGATATTTTTACACAACCACTACAAAGTTTACCCACGGATTTAGTTATTGTTTTTATGATCCAGCGTAGTCGCGTTATATAGTTTTTAAAACCGTTTTTAAAGACCGTGTGTAACGTGAACTTAGTCTAATCATATAGCTACATTTTGTAGTTATAAGACTAAGTGTACGCAATAACATATTATGCTCACTGCATATCTATACAAATAAATAAAATTGTAGTGTCTGTTTGTAATGTTATAATAACAGCTTTTTACTAAATGTATATGAAAGTTTATACGGTACATATAACACAAATATATATTTTTATTAATTTTTGTCTGTCTGTCTGTCTCTCGGTTTGTTCCTGCTAATCTACAAAACGGCTGGACTGATTTTGACGGGACTTTCACTGGCAGATAGCAGATGTTATAAGGAGTAAAAAAAAATAAAACCCATTAAATCTATCGTAATAAATTCCACGCGGACAAAGTCGCGGGGAACAGCTTGTTTATTAATAACTAACTGGTACGCAGAAGAAATAATTGTGGAAATATCGTTTTTAATTTGGAAGAGTTATATTGTTTAAATGGGAGTGATAATACATTCGTTGAGATTTAATCATATAATATTTATGACTTTCAAATAGGTTTGTCGATACGATACACACGCCATCTACTGTGACTTAAATGTACTATGCCTATAACTTTCGCACAAGTGCAAGCTGACAGTGTGACCATATCTGGCAGGTTCCTGACATTTTGGCAGGATTGGCCTCTTATTTTAGCATCTGGCGTGATCGGTTGACGTTTTATATAATCTGGCAGTATTTGGCAGTATTGGGGTATTAAAAATAGATTTCATTTTGGCTACTTAAAATGCCGAAAATGGCAACCCTAGATACTTCGCCAACATGTGCGGGATTTCCCTATATTTCTCGTATTATGTCTGTATCACATTCAATAAACAACTTTTAAAGTTTTTGTGTAAAATTGATAATCATAAAACGAGTATTTATAAACCCGGGTTTATTGTTAATATTTCAATCAGTCATAGAAGAGACGTACTTTAGTTTGGTATCGCATTAGATTTCATGATGATAATGTCTTGTTAATAATATTTCATGGACGATAGTAATTATAGGTGGTGGTGATGAAGCGAAAATATGAAAGAGCGTATAGAGCAAAGTGGGAGCA